TGCTAGAGGGGGCTAAAGTGTGCTAGCGGGGGCTAAAGTGTGCTAGAGGGGGCTAAAGTATGGTAGAGGGGGCTAAAGTGTTCTAGCGAGGGCTAAAGTGTGCTAAAGTGTGCTAGAGGGGGCTAAAGTATGCTAACAAGGGTTAAAGTGTGCTAGTGGGGGCTAAAGTGTGCTAGTGGGGGCTAAAGTGTGCTAGCGGGGGCTAAAGTGTGCTAGCGGGGGCTAAAGTGTGCTAGTGAGGGCTAAAGTGTGCTAGTGGGGGCTAAAGTGTGCTAGCGGGGGCTAAAGTGTGCTAGCAGGGGCTAAAGTGTGCTAGCAGGGGCTAAAGTGTGCAGCTCCTTCAGCTTGGAGTCAGTCGCAAAAATCAACTGAATCTTGTGAGTTGATTTCTTTAAATGTAAGAAGCTGAACTTAAAAAGCAGATGGAACTTGCTCCTCTAACGTGTGAGAACCTCAGTGAGTCTTTAATAAACTCACCCAGAGGTTTTCTGCTGGTGGTCCAATGGCTCAGTTGGTAAATCCTGCTGGCCCCTAATCCCATTTGTCTCTGTGTCTTCCTGGAGGCTGGGGGACCAGTGACGCTTGTCCCTCCTCTCACAACCCTCCTCGTCGTTCCCCGGGGACCCGGCGGGCTCCGGACCCGTCTCCCAGGCCGACAGAGTCCCGTAGCCACTGCTGAGCACCGTGGTGGCCCGCTCCTCCCCCCGGTCCCGGCTCTTGGGTCTCTCGGGCTGAGGGTGGGGGGGGCTCAAAGCGATCAGGCTGTCGATGTCCCCGGATGTATTTTTGGGGACCCTGAGGTGGAAGCTGTAGTCCTTTGCGCTGTGGGTGGTTTTGGTCAGCGAGGCGGGGGAGAAGTCGGCGTGCGGCTGGACGCTGGCCGGGCGGTTCTGGAGCTGAACCAGAGCTTTAATTTCATCCTGAATCAACTGGACAAAATGAGACACAGCATTGATGAACCCGATAAACACTATCAGCGTCGTTAGTATCGGCATGACGAGGCGTAACAGCCTCACCTGTATTTGGCACTGGTACTGCTCCTGCTGGGCGACTATCTGCTCTTGGTATTGCTTCTCAACCAGCTGAAACAGGTGCAGCCATCGGCCCTGTTGTTGAAAATAAAGAAATACATGACGGTGTGATCAGGCCCAGCAGGACGTCAACCTGCAGTAAACCAGCCGGGGACATTTGAATCACTGTGGATGTACGCGGCCTCTTATTTCATACTGGAAACACAACAGCCCGCACACACACACACACACACACACACACACACACGAGGAAGCAGGTTAATCAGAGAACAGCCAGAGATACTTTTGAGGAGATGTCATCTGCAGATCATCTGTAAACCAGGTTTATATAAACGGATCAACTGATTATTTAAAGCAGAGTATCTTTGTGTCCTGAAGGTGTCTGGGAGGATATTTTACTGTTGCAGTGACACAATGTGCTGCATTGTCTACGTGTGAAGTTCTTCATCAGCCCGTCGCCACGTGGGTCCACGAGGACCATCCGTGTGCAGCCCAACATGTATGAACGTATGCAGACACGCAATGCAGCAGAAACCGACCGTGTGCCCGGCCTACATCCGGCCTGTCACACGTATGCATGGCACAGAAACACGCTTTATCCCAGGGAGCTCTAGCTTCTTCTCTGTATCTCTGAGCAGGCGTGAGTGTGACCCAAACAACATGAGTTAGATGTTTGGTCATGCAATAACATACCAAAGATTTCTATTCATTATCGGACATGTTTTTTCTCAAGTATGTCAAATAAAAGGTCCAATGAGCTACGCAGGGTAATTTGCCGCGCTGGAGCGCATCAGTTTTCTGTTTCCTGTCTTTTTAGTCACATCCTGTGTCTGAAGAGATCAGCTGCAGCGCGTTGCTGTGTTGATTGTGTGTTTGTGCTTTTGAATGTCTCCCCCCCCCCTTTCAACACCATCAGCGTGACTCTCACAATTTGCAATAACTATTGGCTTTCAGGCCGTGTGGTATTTTCCCACCTCACAATCCTTCCACATCTCCGGGTCGGTCTCTCCGCTGCTCTGGATCTCCTGCACCAAAGCTCTGAGGGTCTCGAGGGAGCTCGGGTTGATGAATGGGAGGCTCTTCCCTTGTTCAAATGCTTCATTTGTGCTCAGACACAAACTCCTGCGAGAAAAGCAGCTATAATGAATTCACATACTGTAACAAATGATTGTAATATGTGTAGCAACCGGCTATATACAGCCAACCAGAATTAAATACCAGACCAGGACGTGGATGCACAGCAGCCTGGATGTAACAAAATGACATTAAACAATGACCAAATTAAAGCACTAAATGTTTTTATCCTTATACATTATCTGTGGAGTTCAAGCAAAGTCAGGAAATTACAACAATGGTCTTCCATGCGACATAGATTGATATTCTTAGAATTGAATTAAGCACACAAGGCGGAGGACATGTATATGGGCCTCTAACAGAAGAAGGGTCTACTGCAGACCCTCTGCACAGGGAGCTTCAGTCGCTAACGTGTCTACAGCTGCTGCACCTGATCGTGTTGCATGCTGGTGTGATATCCATGGGCCTGCTCTCCACCGGGCCTCCTGCTGGCTGGGAGGTTGTGTGTCTCTCCTCTGAGACAGCCAGTCCCGAGGCTGATGTCCCCTCAGAGGACACCAAAGAGGTCTCGCTCTCCTTACCCCCATCTCCGTCAGGACTGGCATGGCCATGGCTCAGGGCCCCCGAGCTGGACACATCCTCAGAGATACTGTCATCTGTGGACATGTTTATGGGCCCATGCAGAGGGGGTCAGTCTGACAGCTGGAAACCAAGAGGGGGGGGAGGGGGGGGGGGGGGGGAGCAGTCAGACATGTGATGAGGACGTATTGTCCCGCGCTGACAGATTACTCCCCATGCACTTACTTAATTGCACTTCCTCCATTCTCCACACTTTCATGTATACTACTACTGTCCAGACTGTATTACTCTCCTATAGAGTATTCATATACCGGTCTGCAGTCCATACATTTATAGCATATACACAGGATCCTACCTCTGGGTATTTATTCTGTATAGACACAAGCATTACTTGAAATTACATTCTGCACTTTATATTTTACACTTCTATGTTCATACTTTCCATGCGCTAAACATCTAGTACGCGTGGTTTATTCTACATTGTATTTATAAGTTAGGTCTGTACATTCTCCCATTCACTTGCGCAGAGATTATTTTTCCACATCTGGTTAAATTCTATACTCTGTACTTGTTATCTCGCAACCAGAACTGTTGTGCATTGAAAATAAAGATGAACTCAATCTAAACTAGATTAACAAAACAAATCAAAGCAGTATTTAAAAAAGAAAAAAACACAACTATTTCAGATTAAATTAAGCCAGTCACATTTATACATGATATCTGCAATCATTAATCAACAGTAAACAAAACATTAACAGCCGTATTGAAGCTAATGTGTAAACATTTGGCACCGTTGCATCGATGATCCTAATTACTAACCACAACAATCAACACAAGCCACACGCCGCAGACACACACGTACAATTAGCTCTGAACAATTACAAAAACACCAGCCACATTAGCTGCTTTAGCTTCGCTGTCAGACAGACAGTTAAAGTTGGCTGTCAACTCCGCGGGAGGGCTGGGTCGGTTGAGCTCGCTAACGTACTAGCGAGCTAGCTAGCTTAGCTATACAACTGACAATCAATCGGTTAGCTGACGTTAGCCAGCTAGCTAGCTAACGTTAAGTTGATCTGAGTTTGTTTATTACAGGTTTGTAAGCACAGCGCGGGCGAGCTGGACAGCGCGCGCGACCTGCCCACACGCAATAAACCGAAACGTAAACGCTGTTTTTGAGGAGCACATCTCGTCGCAGGTACGTAGAACAATAGTTAACGTACCCGTTGACTTGTATCTCCGTTTCATCCATTTTTCTGTCGGCTAGCTGGTTGCTGGTTGGCTGCTGCACTGCAGTGAACTGTGGCCGCTCTGCCGCTCGCAGCACGGCGTCGCCATTGGTCAAACGTTAGTCAAAAATACAGCGCTGTGATTGGTCATCCCTTTCACAGTGTGCTTCTATTGGCTGTTATGGGGAGGAAAGGGGCGTGGCAGAAGAATAAGCAGCAGACAGTTTACGTTGTTCTTTTTTAATGCAGGACCACATGTGACAGATTCCTTTTTACACTGTGCATTGACCGATATATTAACTCTTCTTATCTTCACATATTATACAAACAGTAAATTCAACCATTTAGTTCTGTTTAATGCCAAGTTTATACAGCGTTTAGTATTATTCATGAACATCCAGTATATTACTGCAGTATACTACTAGCGCTGCATTGAACAGATTCAGTAAATGTCCTGGTTTCTATGTGATTAGTTTATTTATCCATTTCCTATTATTATATTATATATTCCCATTTTTATATTGAGCTTGTGTATAAAATGTGCAGTATAAAAAAGTTGATGTTTTGTTCACTTAACACAGCAAACAAGCTGCAAATGAAAGCTTTTTAAAATCAATTCATGATTGGAGTTTATCAGCCATATGCATATTTTCTGGTTTTAAACGGTCTCACCTTGGACAGTTAATATAACTCTTGATATGCAATCTGGTAACTGGATGATTTAGGTGTCAGAGCTTTGTACTTGCAGCTGTGCATCAAATGGTTCACTCAATCCTGCGGAAGAACTCTTCTGATAAATTCCTTTCAGAGATATTCGCCGTGCCAATGTTCACATATGGAGTATTTTAACTTCTGCTTCATGGTATAAATATTGTAATTTTTGTAGAGATTTCCGATCACACCGATTCTGCTTCCTTTCACTTACCATTTTTCACATGAAATCAAAGGGCTTGACGAGCCCCATTTAGACCCACACCCATGCACGAGCTGTGCTCAACATCTGGAGCAGTCTGGAGGTCAGCATACGATCCCTGCAGCTTTACTCATTTACAAGCAGATTTTCAAGACTAAACTACCAATGCACCAAATCAAACGATGACAACTTTATTGAAAATACAATTTATTACACTGAGTAATAAATACATACAAAGATGCAAGTAACAGCATTTTCCTTTTTTCTTATACCAAAACCAACCTGAACATGAATGAACCGATGCATTTGGCACATCCGCCCCTCACTCAGCCACGTGTGTTGTAAGGGTCCAAAAAAACAGACCAAAGTACTATCAAAAACAAGTCGTTTCCATCTACCCCTGTACAAGCCATGCACTGTCTAGAATTAACCCCCGGAACCCCTCGCATGCGTAAATCAACGTTTTAAATATGAAGTCAAAAGTAAGATCCCAAAAGTGGGGCATAAAAACACGTGTTATCCTTTCATATGAATTCCAGAAACCCAAACATGATTTAAATGACTCCTGCAGAAACCTCAGGAGTCATGAATTGTGTTATTGTTTTCTTTCTCTCTCTCTGTCTAGGAGCTTGATTTTTCACATCCTCTGTTCATTTATTCCCTCCTCTGGAAGGAAATGCCAAGCAAGTCGTTGTTTTTCTGTTAGTTCTTCTTGCAGGGAGGCATGTGTGTCGGCAGCTAGGACCTCGCGTTCCTCTCCGTCTCAGCCAAGCACTCACGCACCAACCCTCGGGCGTGGATTATTCCTTTCAAGGGACAAGTGCAATTTAATTAACAAACTCTACAATTCTCTATGTTTTGCACTCGAATAGGACAAAGTAAAAGTATGGAGGTATTATCAGCAGTAATCGTAAAAGTAAAAAGGTTCCTTGTCAGTGTTACGTTAATATTCCTGTTGCATTGTACCTCCTGAATATCCTGCTGCCTTAATAAGACAGTTACGTGGGAGGATTTTCACCAAACGTCATTCTTCAGTTTATCAGAAAATATTCTAAATCAACACATCTGGAAATATGTTGTTTTACTTTTAGAGGAAGAAACTAAAGGTGTCAGACAATGTAGTAGAAAGTACACTATGTACCACTGAGAAGTAGTGGAGTAAAAAGCATAATATGTTACCTCTGATATTTAGAGACGTAAGAAGTTGAATAAAATGGAAACACGCAAGTACAAGCTTGATGTACTTGTACATGTACGTGGTAGCATTTACCTCTTTTCAGTCTCTCCATCGCGCTCTTACTTCCGGCGTACGTGGGCCGGATCTCTTTGCCCAGCTCCTCGATGATGGCCAGCAGCTCTGCATATTTGTTCTGAGGCACTTGGCTGCCGCTGGAGCCCTGAGGAGAAACACGGCACCATCAGCCAGAGGCATCGCACGTTACCGACTTTAGATATGCCATACATGTTATATATTCATGAAGAATTACTATGAAATGATTTCATGTTCACAGGTAGGAAGTTCACCAAAAATAAGAGGAAAACGTTTACACAGGAAGCAAATCTTAAGGCCTTATGTGAACTAGGGACCATCCTTCTAATAAACCAGGGACCATCCTTCTAATAAACCAGGGACCATCCTTCTAATAAACCAGGGACCATCCTTCTAATAAACCAGGGACCATCCTTCTAATAAACCAGGGAACATCCTTCTAATAAACCAGGGACCATCCTTCTAATAAACCAGGGACCATCCTTCTAATAAACCAGGGACCATCCTTCTAATAAACCAGGGACCATCCTTCTAATAAACCAGGGACCATCCTTCTAATAAACCAGGGACCATCCTTCTAATAAACCAGGGACCATCCTTCTAATAAACCAGGGAACATCCTTAGACAATATTGTTCCACTAAATTAGGTTAATGAGCTTTTCAACATATTTATGGAGGTACAATACACGGGTTTAAGCACTGAGAAGCTGAGATGAACCTGTGGAGGGGCCTTCAGGTGCAGTTACCTGTGAGAACCCCAGAGACGGGGGCCCATAGTCGCTCAGCAGGGGCCTGTAGGACTGCAACGTGGCCAGGTTCGCTGCTGAAGGAGACTGGAGGCTTCCAACTGCTCACAGAACACAAGTCCACACCAGTGAGGATTACTATGAGTATAATCAGCATATAATGCACCTCACATGTCACTGCATCAATAAACACAATACAATGGAAGTTATGATAATGAAACAACAGCTGAGCATCTTGGCTGTTTAGTTCCAATAATAATAACAAAAATATATTGTAACAATACTTTGTTAAAGAGTTAAAGTTATGCATTAATTATACAACAATAAACACACGGTAGGTATTAGCATCAGAATATACTAAAAGAAGCAAAAGTAAAAGTACTCACGATGCACATCGACACATTTCAGATTTGTACATTATATTTCAATAATGCTAATTAGAATTACTATAAATACCAGTGAGTAGATTAGTCTTCCTCATTTAGTTCTGTATTTTTTGTATGATTGGCAGATAGATGCACAATATTAACCTGCCAAATATACTTAAGTAGAAGTATAAAGTTTCTTTATAAAGTAATAAAAAAGGAGTTTGATTGTAACAGGGCAAATTTGCAGTACTCGTATTTCTACAATACATATTATTATTAATCAGAATTTTAAAATAATAACTTTTTTTTTTAATGTTTAAAGTTGCTCAAAATAGAAATATCGGCTTAAGCACCAAAACAATGTTCAGCAGTTGAAGTGTTAAAAGTGCATTTAAGTATTAAGTATTTCAAAACCGCAGTACCGTTATTTCTACTTTAATAAAAATATTATAATTTCTAAACCCGCTGACACTTTTCCTCCACTGACAGGAGGCGGCTTTCCGTCCTCCTCCTCGCCGCTTCCCTGCTGCTTTGTTCGGCTGTAATATTCAACCTCCGACGCGAGATGTCCTCGAAGAGCCGCGAGAGCGCAAACGGGAGCCCGCTGAACCGCGAGCGGATCAATCAGCCGCTGCGCGAGGAGCATCATGGAGGAAACGGAACAAGGGCTCGACGAGGAGACACGCCGCCGATACTCGGGCTGGCGCTTTTTTTTTTTTTTTTTGGGTCGCGGCGCTACGGCGGCCGACCCGCCGCGGGGAGCGGGGGGGAGGCGGCCGGGACGACGGATAACCGCACGAGGGGAACCGCCGCCTTCTCGTTTCTCGTCCCGACCGTCGTCCCGCGCCGAACCGGAGCCCGCGAAACGGCGCCGGGCTCCTTTTTTTTCCTCCCACATTAGTAATAATGGCGGATGCGAATTAGCCTAGCTCCCAGGATCTGACCCTACATATATAACCGGACAGAAAAAGAACTACAGACGCGGTCTTTCTCCAGGTATTCTCCGAGACCCCGCGTTTAACACTCGATTTAACGGACGGAACCTTTGATTTTCCGCCATTTTTTCTCCTTACCCTGGTTCCCAGAAGTTCCCGGAATGTGCTGGTGGACATTGGGTTTGTAAGACATTCCCAGAGACATTGTAAATTAAAGAAATAAAAATGACCCGAAATTCAGTGAAGCGTCTGTCTCTCACTTTTTGTTTACAACAGCGGCACCGGCAAATATGGCCGTCACTTTATATTGACACCCACTGTGCTTTGTAACGCCGGGTTCTCCATCGCGGCCGCGAGGACACAAAGAGGCAGAAAGAAACGCTTTATCCGCCTTTTATTACGGATAAAAGGAGGGAACTCCGCCGCGGAACACGCGGTTAACGCGGGTCCACTTTTAAATGGAGCCAACGCGCTGCTTTTGGAGACCTTTAAAAAGTAAACGCCAAGTGTGTTTGTACTTATTTATTCGCATTTTAAAGTCTTAGATTATTTATTTTTTTACAAAAAAAATGTTTTTTTTCAAAAGTCCGATAAAGAACTCCGTGTTCTTAATTCCACATTAAATCACTTAAAAGTGAAATGTCTTTTTTTCATTTTAGTTGAATATGAACATTTTGTCACTTTAGGAGAAAACGGATACCTGTCTTTGTCTGCGGGGCCGCGTCCATCGTTCCGTTTTTAGAGATATAAATATATATAAATATAAACGTGCGGGCTTACGGGTGATTCGCTAATAAGAGTCCACTTATTTTGGAGGCGTGTGGCCGCGTTCCTCCTCGTCTTACATTGAAGTGCGCGGACACTTAAACCTCCCAGTGGATCCCCTCAGCCTCTCTTGACCACATGGTTGGACAAACAAGGACGAGGTCGGGCCCAATCCGGGCCCAGTGGCATGACCTTTGACCGCCCCCCCCCCCAGTGGGATGGCCCGGATAATGAGTGGATATCAATGGGTTAACAGGGTCTGACTTTAGCACGTTTGGGGTCAATGTACGAATTGGATTTGAGAATATGTATCATTGTATACATAATCACTATTTGTGGATATTTTATTTATGAATATGTAAAGTACACTAGTTTTTAAATGCTTTTATTCTGAAGCACAATTCAAGATAAAAACACTCTTCTATACAACATCCTGAACAGTAAAGTATATAAATATAAGGAATACTAATCTAAATGCAGATACATGGGACTTCACCTGTAAAATGAGTTGTGTACAGATTTTGCACTAAATATAACAATAGTACAACATGGGCAATGTTTAAAAAAAAAAAGGTTTTAATGCACAACTTTCCTTGTAATTGAGTATTGTTACTTATTGACATAAAATATATTATATGACTTCATCCTCCTGTTGAAGGGAACAAAAGTTAATTATATTTCCTAAACTAGAATCTGAGCTTGTTTTTGATAGTTAGTAAAATCCTTTGCAATCTGTAATGGAGGTGGAAGAAGCCCAAATGGAACGACGTCATCAATGCTGGCAAGTGATTATCTGTCCCAATTATTTAACATTTTAATCAATAAAACATCCCGTAGCTTCATCCAGTAGGATCCTGTGTCGCTGTAGTACAATTAACAGTACTACAATGTAGAAGTATACCAAGCTTTATTGAGCACCACACTCATGTACAGGTGAATATTTGTACAACTCGGTCAGTAGTGCAACTCGTGCAAAGATGGGAGAAAAAAAAAAAAAAAAGTCCAAGTGTTTTTAGCTTCAGGAGCTCGCTTTTCTAACATCTCAGAAAGACAAAATAAAAACAGAAGATGTTGGCGGACATTCAAGTTAAAAATAATTCTTGATTAAAGAGCAGATCAGTGAAGTCCCTCCGGCGGCCTGCGTTGTTAACGTTTCTTTTGTTTTCATCCGTTTACAAAGTGTACAAAACGCACATTGGTATGACACAAAGACTCGTTTGGTGAACGCGTGGAACAGTCGGCAACATGAGCTCATCCACAGCTTCACGACGCGTCCCTTCCAGTGCAGATCAAGTCAAAGCGACGTGGGACGAGGAGCAGCCGGGGCGCGAGACGCTTCACCGCAAACAAGACGATAACCACGGAGGAGCGACCAGGCGTCCAAGCAGCATTTGGGGTTCCGTTCATGCGTGTTTTCAGATACTTAGTGAACCATTTGTGTTCCAAAAGAGGGTCTTTGTAAGAGTCTAAACCCCTGAGCAGAAGTCCATAGAATAAACATCTAAATACAAACGTCCTTGTACTGTATATTACACGTCACAACATCACAGGAGATCTGTCAGACCAAAGGTGGAATCCACCAACACAAACTCAACGGGTCGGCTGACCGGAGAGAAGCGAGCAGCGCCGAGCAGAACATCTAGTCCCATCGTGTCAGATTAAAGCCAGACATGTGGAACACCTGGAAGGACCCAGCAGAACCAGCTAGACTGACGAATAAAGCTGCAGGTGACACGTGTGCACTTATATTTTGTGTTGAACTGTTCCTTTAATGTCCAGTAACAACATGAGGAACAATAACAGCGGGAACGTGACGAGGACTCTGAGGACGGCGAGTGGGATTATTAGAGCTACGTCACTAAGAGGAACAAAATCATCCAGCCTGAAATGAAAACAAATGGCTCCTGTTGGCTCCCGATCAGGTTCGTACTTCAAACTGAATCTCTCTGCACGAGTGCCGAATCCCGTCCGAGCCGCTAACTGATGTATATAAATATGGAATTGTAGCGGAGCATCAAATGCCTGTTTTTGTTTGTTTGTTTACTTTTGGGATCAGACTTCAAAAAGACGTCTCCTCCACCTTTGGTCTGATCCAGGAACAAGTCTCTGCTTCATACCAGGCGGTCCAGGGCTGACCAGCTAAGAGGAGGCGACAGCTCGACGGGCCCCCCCGGGGGCCTCCATCGATACGTCACACACCTTCCCACTCTGAATGTCAGAGGACAAAAACATCACCCATCAACGCCCGTCTAGGTGAAAAATAAGAGTCTCTGGAGATTTAAAAAAAACAAAAGAGAAGGAAGAAAACCCTGAAATCTTTTCTCTGTACAACGCGTCTGAGGACCGGCGGCTCAGAGCGACATTTAGGAGACGCCGGGGAGGAGGTCTCGCGTGGAGGTGAACTCGAGGAGGGCTTTGAGCGTGGCGCCCCCCCCCACAGGCTATGTGCTGGGAGCGTGACAGAGGCTCTGCGGGTGGAGCTGCTGGCGCTTCTGGAGCTCCTGCACGGCGAGCTGCTGGCACTGGTCCGACGTGGAGAGCTTGTTGCTCAGCGGAGACACGCAGTTCGCTGGAATGATCAGTCCTGCAAGACAGAACACAAGAGAACCGTGAACGCAGGAACGGCTCGGCCATTTTCAGATATTGCCGTTAGAACGACATAAATAAACATCAAGCTGGAAACCTTCACGGTGACGAGTCACAGAATAATCCGGCACATTTCCCCCCCCATTTTGAATGGCGTTTATGTCTTGTGCCGCAATGACTAAAAAAGGTGTCAGTTTTAATTTATTATATTAGTTTCTCTGCAGTGTAAATAATAATAAAACGAATCCACCAAATCAAGAAGAGCCTCGATCACAGGAGAGTAACGTCCCCGACGAGCGCAGCGCGAAAGCCTTGAATTCACTCCTTCGTCCCTTTCAGAGGCGCGGAGCTTCACGGTGGACTCACCGACGATCCTCTGCCCGTCTTCCGTTCTCAGTCTGACGATCTGAACCTTCACGTTGGTTCCGCTGACCGGAGTGAGAACCTCCTCCAGCTCGTTCCACACGCTGAGCACCGAGCCGCACAGGACGTAGTAGGTCCGACAGCGCAGGCCGACCTCGCACTGCAGCCCCACCGACGCCTTCTTGCAGTTACCTCGCCTGCGGAAACAACACGCGTTACCAGAGCAGCTTTGAACAGATCGTTCAATAATCTGGAGATTTGTCTCTAGAAACTCATTTTGCAGACTGGCCTTCATGTAACATGGTCTTGTTACGGCTTCATTTGATCATTGACTCATTATCGTAATTGTTGTGCTTAGAGTTGTATCGCTTGTGTCGAAAGATGAACTTAAACCCTGCATTTGAATGTAATCCGTAAAATCATCGTCTATTTCCACAAGGGATGTAAATCTATGATTAAAATATGTCACTGTATTTTGAAAAAGGATCAAATCATTTTCACATCGACTGGCTACTGTTGTTTTGGTGCGAGTGGTAAAAAAACAATAGAGAATGTGAGCAGACGAGACCGTCAGATCTCAAGCGTGCGTACCAGTAAGCGTGGGAGCAGATCTGAGCCGACGACGTGTACTGATCCATCCAGTGCTGCTTGGCGTCATCGGACAACACCTGGAAGGAAAAAAACAAACGAATCAATCACGTGTCCCCACGCAGCGGATTAAGAGTTCTACCCAAAGTCTAGTGAGAAGGTTGTGTGACCTTTTTGAACTTCTTCTTGATGTCTGCGTAGACCTCCAGTTTGACCTGCCTGCCGGTGTTGGGCCTGTACACCAGGAAGAGCCTCTTCTTGGCGTTCACTTCCTTCACCAGGATGGCCGTTTTCTTGTTGTTCCTCATCTGGAAACAAAAAGCACACGTTGTACTCGGAGACATTTCACAACAAATCTGTTCACTCGCCATGGAACAAGTCCGCTGCGTCTCTGGAGGACATTAGTCAAGTCAAATATTCATTATGACTCGGGCTCGTACATTGCATCACAGGTTAGATGTTGTGCGCCCGGATAGTTCAACCATCTACATAAACTTGTATAAAGTCCCAGTCAATCTGGTGAATATTTTTGGTAACTTTGACCTCCATCCTGGTAGAGAAACATAATGAACCTCCTCATACCTGAACATAGAAACCGTCGTCTGGTCCGCTCTGATCGGCCCAGGCATGCGTGGCCTCCTCCCAGGACATCCCCCTCTCCACACTCACCTGTGAGACACAACAGTCAGGTGGCGCCGCCATCTCCTTGATAAGCAAACATGCATGCATGCATGCGCATATATATATATATATATATATATATATATCTGACAACATACGGTGTAGAGCTCCACGTGTCCGGACGTGGTGTAGCCCGGCGTTAGAAACTTCCTGCAGTCCACTTTCTTCACCTTCTCGTCCCCGTTGCCCAGATCTACAGGAGGAGGAAGAGGAGAGATTTTAACACGTCTCACATCAGAGACGATTACGCCTCAACTCGCTTCGTCACAGCGGAAAGCCCCTGTGAGTAACAACGCGGAGGAACGCCTCCTGCTGAAGGCCGGCTTCTGTATCAGTGCGACAGAAGTGGAGAGTGACGCCCGGCTTACCCAGAATGCCCATGTCGTATCTGCCGCTCTTCTTGGCTTCCAGAATGACGGCTGCCAGCGTGTCGGAGAAGTACTGGAACAAGGCGTTCTGCTGCTGGACCTCCATGCCCAAGATCCGGTTGAGGAACTTCCCCATGTTGTTGTAGTCTGCAGCAGAAACAGTATTTGGATTACGTCCATGTGGGGACTCACTAAACTGCACATGCAACGCAGGACACATAGAACAGGGCTAAAAAGTCTAGGGGGGAGAAAGAAATCTCATATGAAAAAAACACACAGGAATATTCACCCAAACGTTTGTACAGAAGTTGAGGGAGAAACTATTTTGTGTTTAAGTAAACTTAATCAGCATGTTTGTGAAGTGACGAGCAAAAAAAAAAGTGACATCAGCATCGCATGTCCGTTCACCTTTGTCCAGCGACATCGTGCCAGACCGGTCCTCCATGTTTATGAGGCCCACACCTATTAATCCACTCTGAATCTCTGAAGGACAAAGAGAACCATGGAGACATGAACAAGGTGTGCAGTGTCAGACATATTCACTGAAAGGTAAACAAACGCTACCTTTGAAGAAGTCTCCTTTAAAGTGAGCGGGTGGAGACACGAGGGGGGAATCCAGCTTCACGATGGACTTCATCACGATCTCCAGAGCGTTTCTTCCGTACTGCAGCAAGAAGGAGAGTGAGTCGCCGGCAGATAGAAACTAATGAACTTCCCGGACCAAAGCGTCTCGTGCTTACTTTGTTGTCAAAATTGAACCGGCTGAGATCTCGAGTTTCCGTCGCTCTTCTGTCTCCGTGTGTGAGAGCCCCCTGAGAGAGAAAGAGCGAGTGAATGCGTCCTTCAGGTGTCCGCGTTTCCTCACAACACGTTCCGATTAAGACCTACCAGGCTTTCTAGTCTTTTGGCAACAATGGATGCAAATCTCTGCTCTCCTGCCAGCTCCGATATGAGGAAGACGTACTCCGGCGCCGTGACCTGGTTCGACCGGTGAGTTCTCCCTGAGAACAGAAGAACGGAACGTTTTAAAGCCACGCGTTCATCGCGTCGCAGACTAGGAGGTCCGGTACGCGTCTACGGACCGAACTGCTGGATCGCTCTGTCGGCGCTCCACGGGAGCTCCAGTGTCATGTGGACCCTCCGCCGCTGGTTCTTCACCCGGCGATCCGCCTGCAGGGAAATACCCGAGCTGGCAGCTTCCGAGATGATGGCGATGTTCTGGTTGAAAAGGAAACGGGCAGCAGGGCCTTATTTTCACATCAAAACATGTGATAAGCAGCCGCTATTCTTTAAGAGTCTGTCGGCCCCTTTACCTTCTCTCCATCCATGAACCTCTGCTTCTCTGTGAGGTTGAGGATCTCCACCGGGACGTCCAGCTCGGAGCGGGACTCGTACGTGATGCTGCCGTCGTCGTTGCTGACCACGCGACCTTTGCGACCCGTCATCTGGAGCACAGGAGAAGAACCAAAGTCAATTAGCGGAACAAATGATCCAGCATTTCGACATGAGGAAAAACCCGACTTCCCCGGCTGTTTGTACCTCAGCTACGTTTTCGGGGCCTCCCAGCTCGTCGATCAGCTCGTCCAGAGTGTTGGGAGGAAGATCCTCAGCCAGATCTTCCAGTTTCTCCAGCAGCTCTTTCTTCATCATCTGGGCGTGTTCCACGGCGTCCTGGCTCGTCAGACAGCTGAGCTGACTCTCTGCCTTGACTGATGAGCAAGTACAACCGAGGCGTCCGTTAACCCTCAGCATGCTGCTGCTGCTGCTGCCCACCCCCCCTCCGTGTTGCTGTCTGCTTACCTGCGGTGGGGGTGCTGGGGGGCATAACGGGGGCGGTGAAAGCAGGCCTGGTGGAGCCCAGCCCCGAGGCTAACAAGGCACTTTGAATGGAGTCGGGATCAACGCTCCTCTTCCTCTTTTTCTTCTTCTTCTCTTTCCCTTTCTTCGGTTCCTTTCTGAAGAGCCACGGATCTGAAACACACGGGCGGCATGAACGTTTGTGAGCACTGAAGTGGAAAAATAAACAGTTTTCATCGCCTCTTGACCTCCCAGCAGAAGACTCACCGTCTTCCTCGTCGTCGTCGGACTCGTCTCTGAACGGGTTGAAGTCGTCGTCCTCGTCCCCCGAGCTGAGCGACTTTACGCTCTCGTCGCTGTCCTTCACAGACTCTCTGTCCGAGTCCTCTGATTGGCTCTCGTCCGAGCTGGTGCCCGACAGGCCGCCGTGCTTGCGGGGTTTCTTCTTCTGCTTCTTCACCTCTGGACCTGGAGAGATGAGCAGACAGGATGCAAAGAAAAGAAAAAGTAAATTAACATTAAAGCACATTTATGGACGGCATTTTTAAGACAGACCCGGGTTATGAAGTCTTCATTACCTTTCCTCTTCTTTCCCTTCTGTTCCTGCTGAGACGGCGGCTCAGCAGGAGCCTTCTTGGTCGGGAGGTCGATGCCGAGCAGGCTGTAAAGCTTCTGTCTGTCAGGAGCTGGAAAGTGCTTCTCAATGAGGGACTGCAGCACACCTCTAGAACGACAAAACATTTCATTATGGCAACACGCACAAAATGTACATTAAAAAGAAAATATCAACGATAGTCTGTACTTTGCAGTGGACACAAAGTCGTTGAGTTCTCCTCCTCCTTCCTCCAAGGCCTCCAGCGTTCTGGCTTCTCCAGTGGACTGAAGACCGATGACCACACACTGCAGAGGAGACGTGGATTACATCAGAGCGGGCAGCGCAACACCAACCGTTTCAGGAAAGCAGCCGAGTGCTAAACAGCTGATGAGCCGGCGGAGTGGAGCATTGAAATGTAAATAACGGAGAAACAAATGACTCATTGCCGACATCGATCATGTGATGGTGCTCCTCTGTGGAAGGGAGGGGGCGCCAGGCGCTCTGTACCAGAGCCAACTTTGTCTCGCTGTGAACACGCTAAAAATTAAACAAAGTCAAAAAGTGGTCTCACCTTCCCGTTTTGGACCTCCTCTCTGGCCAGCTGCACCACTCGGCGGACCTTGGAGGCGATGCAGAGGTATTTGAAGAACCGCTGGTGAGCGGACCAGAACTGGCCCCACATGGACTTCTTCATGCGCTGCTCGGCGTCCATCAGGTTCGCCGCCTGCTGGAACCGCTCCCGGGCACTCACCCACTGGGAGAAGCACGAGACACCCACTTATCAACTGCGCCGACCAACAGAAGCACGGCGGGGACGCGCTTGGGAGGCATTTCTTCTCACTGTGCTTACCAGCCTCACAGACTTGTTGTACATGTTGATGTACTGCTGAGTCAGGGGAACTTCCTCAATCTTAAACGTCACACCAGTAAAACTCAACTGCCTGGCAATGTACATCCCCCTGAGCTTCATGTCCATGGCTACTATCTCCATGGCGCCAACGCCTCTGAACAGAAACAAAGAAACGGACACATGAGGACTTTTCCTACACATCACCCGTCAGATATTGTGACATTCAGCTGCAAAAGGGGAAACTAACCTGCGCTCAACAGCTTGGATAAAGTTGCCAAACTCTCTGAAGGGCGTTTTATGGCCCCAGATGCCCAGGCGGTTCATGTAGGCCATATTCCGCGGTTCAGAGGCACCTTGACAGAAGGAAATAAAGATAATTTTTTATTCACCTGCAGTCACAACGTAAAGTGATGATTTAGTCGTTTGCGTCTACTGACCTGTAGCGCTGGCATACACGACCCGAGCCTTGGGGAGCTTGTTCTGCAGTTCCAACACCGCAAGCCCGGTTTTGGTCGGTTTGGACGATCCGATTGGACACACGTTTTTGGCTTTGTGACACTCGTCATACACAATCTGAAAGACGCTCGGTTAAGGGAAACGATGGTCCACAAGCATCTCGTGAACATCAAATTCAGTCAGGTAAACGACAACAGAGTAATCCTCATCTCGGCATCGACTCCACCAACCGAAGGCTGAAAGGATACGACTCCGTCGAAGTCCTCGCCGCACCAGTGGAGAAGCTGCTGGAATCTGGTCTTGTACTTGCCTCCTGATTGGCTCTCTCCGATCAAAGAAGAGTAGGTGGCGAATATCACACCTTTCTTCACGCTCCCGTTGTGTTTTGAGGAAATCTTCCCGTATTTGAACTGAAAATAAAAACGTACGAGTTGAGTGACACATTGTGATCCAGAAGGCAGCGTTTTCACCAGAGCTTGGTGAAAGTTTCTGACCTTGTTCAGCGAGTGAACCTGGATGTTTTTGGCTCCGATGTCCCTTAGATCCCTCTCAGCGTCGTACTTCAAGTCGTTAGAAACACTAAACCTGAACAGAAGAACATTAGTTTGAAGGTCATACTTTGCAATCCCCCGTGTTTGAATAAGAGGTCGAGGATTTGGGGTTTTTACCAGAGAGATCTCTTCCTGCCTAAAAGGTAGTTCTCGTAGATGACCCCTGCAATGGTCCGACCTTTCCCCACACCGGCACCGTCCCCGATTAAATAAGCGGCCCGATCACCGCTGGGGAGGAATGTCTCATGTTGCTGTGGTGCACAGGGAAAACAAAACGATAAGAGCTGAACCGTTTCCTTCCAGAACGAGTCGAGTCACAAAAAAAATACAACAGGGAAATATTATATTATATTATACCTGCAGCTTCAATTCCCTGATTTTGATTTAGTTTCACTCTATAAATATGTAATTCAGTTTTATTCACATTTTAGTAATTTTATTAAAAGTTTTATTAAAAAGAAATAAAATACATTTTATTCACTGAGCACTTTCTTCCAAGAAAAACAGAATAAATCAGTAAAATCGATCCTGCCGATTTATTGATATAAATTCCGTTTTACAAATTTGTCTTTACATCCGCAGCGGTCAATCATTAACAAAACAGTCCACTCGGCTCACCTGAGCCGCGTACGTTATTGCCTCCAGCTGCAGAGCCGACAGGCAGCCTCGATCGATGACTTCCTCCGAGATGGACAGTCTGTACCACACGTCTGGAGGGTTGACACTGGACAGCGAGCTGGTCTCCACCACGGGATCGGGATGCCGCTGGCCGATCTTCACTGAGGTGGCAAACAGACGGCTGAGTTTTCTCGGGATATTAACAGCCGGATGCATGTCGTTTGATTTCACGGAGCGATCGCGGTTCAACGGTACTACTTACATTTCATTGGCATGTACTCTGCATACGTCTCTGCGTGGCCCAGTTCGTCCTCCTCTTCCTCCTCAGGCTCATCCTCCTCTTTCATCCCGGGGATTTTCTGTCACCACAGATGGACACATGCGTCAATACCAACCTGCCAAATGTGACAACGTGCCAACACATTTGGCAGCGATCATGAGGTTTCTAAAAATCTATATTAAAATACTAACCAGAGAGTGCGGGAAGGGTTGCATTTTGATGTCATCATTAATCCAGATCCTGGCAGCATCTTTACCAAAAACTTCCTTCTTGATCCCATTGTTCACTTCACCTAAAACAACAACATAGACCAACTTTTATTTTAAAGTATTTGTATTTGGTTCGACATAAAATTAAGTCTTTTGGGGATGTTGATAAATATTATTTACAGGCAAAAATGTTACCTTGATCATTTATCTCAGTTGAGCTTTTCTTTGTCTAATGTGATCGCAATTACCAACATTTGGACCAAAATAAATAAGTATATAATGAAATAAAAGTTCTTTATGTGGTGAGTTTCACTTTTACAGAAAAAAGGATGCGTTTTTTTGTTGCTCCGACTAAAGACGGAGGGCAAGTCCCAAACTGCTTTTAGCTCGTCGGTTCGGTTCTCTGGATGGCATACGAATGCGTTCTTATCTCTTTTGATACCTTTAAAATCGCTCCAAATTTGGATGATTGAAAACCATACATGAACTTTTTAATAGTCCATTAAAATGTAAGAAAAACAAACACAAAATGACCTGTGGCTGTTGCCGTTGCTACTGGTGGAGCAATGTTGGGTGGAGGCTTTAGCCTCATGAGCTCCATCAGGCTGTTGCCCTTCAGACCCGCGCTCTTCACATTGCCGGAGCGAAGGAGGTCTTTCAACTGAATCTGCTAGAAGAAAAAATACAATCAGCATGACCGAAAAAGAAGCTTCTCTCTGTGCCGTTAAGTCCCGACAAACATACCTGCTCTCGGTTAGAAGGCACTAACGTGGACGCTGACGAAGGAGTAGTTGTGATGGAGGGGCTCGAACATCCTCGCAGGGCCGAGTTAGTCACATGGACCACTTTGGTGACCGTTATGGTGTGTTTGATGGGGTTTGCAACACATTGTTTGGTCGCATTACTTCCAAGTGACGGCAACTGATTCAGCTGATTTAAGACAAACGTGGTGGTCGATGGCTGAGGTTTGTGCTGTTGGAGACAGTGAGCAGAGAGTCCAGTTGACTTTATTACATACCACGAAACAATACATTAGCTGCAACATAGCATTATGTGTGCAACAATTACCAATGGGAACTCAATGCAGTGTAATCTCACCCTGATAGTAACTATAGGGACTGGAGCTGGAGGCTCACTTCGTACAACTTCCACCGACTCTGCCCCCCCGCCGACATCCAGGGCACTGATAGAGATGGACTGGAAAAGGACCAACATCAGAGCATTAACATTAAGCTATGAGCACATGAAGGAATGACTCTCTCTCTCTCTCCATAACACCAAAGACATTCTTACTTGCTGGGCTGTAGAGGGCTGTGCAGTGTCCTGAGAATCAACATCAAACAGGCCAAAATCATTTGGACAAATTCCACTCTCACTCAGGGCAGCGAGAAGTAAATCCTGACCAGGATCCATCTGTAGATAAGAAAAGTAGATGTACGTTAAAAAACTGATAAGACTAAGGAAAATGGTTTAGCGGTGAAACAATCAATGACCAATCGACTGCACAAAACCAGTGTAATTGTATTGTCAAATACAATTACATTGTAATACAAGAATTTAACAACATTTGTAGCTTGCAGACTCAAAAAACTCAAGTCAGATGAATCCTTGACCAAATGGATTAACATTAACTAGATGGTGAACACATCAATGACGTGTGCAGTAAAGTGAGTAAATACATGCAACAGTGCATTAACATGACCCACCTTAAAAAAAGATGCATGAATAAAAAAAATCACCTGATTAATATTAGGAGCAGCATATTTTGCACGCGCAAAAACAGAAAACGATGTCACAAACACCAACTTTAACTAACAAACGAGGCTGTTTGGTCCACCGGGACGTGAGGAACATTTTAAACCCACTTAGAATATTCACCTTGGCGTAGATCCTCATTCAGCGCACGCCGAAAGACACGTGAGGGGAAACACTAAAAACGTAACCGTGACTCCGGAGATCTAAACCAACGCCACATCATCAGTAACGATGGCAGGATTAAAGTTAAACATTTCTCGCCGCAACGTCCGCTCTGCGGGTCGGACGCGGACCAAAGTGACCCAAAACAAGACACGTGTTTGCAAAGCCCTCCTCTCGGTGCGCACGACTTCCTGGTGCCTCCGCATCAGATGAAGCTTCCCCTCCCCGGACTCCTCGCCAGCTCCGCCGGTTAAAAACACATTAACACCGACTACCGACTAGCACCTTCTTTTGGCGACCGTAGCAGGCGTCTACGCACCGGTGGATTTAAGAGTTTAACAGAGCTAACAGAGCTAACTCGGCTGCCCCCCCCCCACCCCGCGTGGCTATGGGTCTCACAAGCTAAACTGGCCTGGTGGAGTCAGGGTGACACGGCTTAACTGTGCTAACCGAGAGCTAGCGACATGAACTGAAAGCCCCCCCCACACACACGTTCATTCCAGGGACACAGCGAGTCCACGCGTCTAACGTAGTTAGACCAAACCCTGTGCAGAAAAATACACATTTAAGGGAAGACTCGCGTGCTGCCAACGGAAAGAGTCTCAATGTCACGTTAGCGCTTCCGTTCTGCAGCAGTTTAAAAAAAGTAAAAAGTTAAGTAAGATGCAAAAAACGAACATACATAACACACGCATAACACGTGAGAAGAGTTTAAAAATGAATGGAAAGTGTCCTGGAAATAACTTGTTAGCACGGGTGCAATTACACATTATGTGCGTTGAGTTCATGTTAATTTAAGAATTTGTTCGAAAATAACTTTTCTTAAAGATTACTTTTCATAAAACGTTCGTGACGTTTTAACGTTATTTGTGTATAGCCTACCGTTGCAATTAATACAAGTGTAGCCCGTTGGAATAGATTACGCTATTTAGATTAATCTTGAACCAAAATATTTTTCGGTCAACAGTATTTTCACCGTAATCTAATTCCTTCCTTCCTCCTAATTATTTTAGGTTCGTGGTTTTTGTAGATTTATTTGCCCCGAAATGAGTAACGTTAGCTAATAATGCTTCTCAATGTAAAGTGTAACGTACGTTTCTTTAACGTTACGTGAAAAACTATGAACTATATTTGTCATAAAAGTTCACAGTGGATGGAGACAGGTCATAGAATATGAACAGGTTGATAAGGTGCAATCCAAAGCTAGCTTGTTTAGCTAGCTAGGAGCGCTGGATGCTAATTGCTAATAAAACGCCTTTAAACGACACCCACATTACGTTGACATGCCTGAATAACCTCAAGTCTCGGCGTGTCCCTCCCCAACCTCCCCGCAGCCGCTTGCCTCGGCGGCCGGGTTTAGCTAACGGTCACCCCGCATTGTTGTGATGTTGTTGACGGCCGCTCCGTGTCATTGCCGTCGCTAAGCTAACATTAGCAACGAGGAGTAAACCGAATACGCAGCTACCGCTGTCAAAGCCTCCAAACGAAATATAACACTTACTTTTATCTCAATATAACCGCGTCGAGAGGAGTTAGTCTTTTTAATAACCGGGATCGTCGGCGTTAAACAAAACGGATCGCCGAGGCGCCGAAAATCAACTTACTTGACAGTCCAGCAGCCACTCTCGCCGCTCCGGTTCGGCGGTTTGTTGTCCTGTTCGCTCCGCTGAGCTCACGCCATCTTTTTTTATCAATCGCTCCAGCCGCATGCTGGTCACGTGACGCGCGGGCCCGTTTTCGCAGTCAAAGTTCTCGCCGGGCGTCGATGAAAACGGGTCTCCGGACGGACGCGCCGCGTCCCGCCGACGAGACGCACCGAGGAAATCGAGAAATTAGGCATTTCTAAAACGTTGGCGCGAACATAGCAGAGTCAGCAGCGAGCTAATGCGGCGTCACGTGACCCCGCGAGATCTTGGTAGGAAGTGACGATGAAAAGTGTTTCTTCTTCGTTGTTCTCTTCCTTTTTTTCTGTCTTCTGCTCTTCTTCCTTTCAAGTGCTGGTCGTAGTATTCAGATAATTTACTTCAGTAAAGTACTTGTATGACACCGTGAAAAATGATGTGACTTTATTAATACATATATGGTATCAAGGTATTTAATAATTAATCTAAAACGCAATATCATAATGTTCAATTGTGTGTTTTCAATATTAAAATGATATATTCTAGTTTTACAATTTTTGATACATTTCTAATAAATTAATGCCGGATTACAGGAAAAATTCTTGGACCAACCACACCCATAACTGCATTACACTGCAAAAGGCAAATATAACTCGTATTAATATAACAAATATAATATCAATTTGTCTGGTTTATTCATGTTTATGTGTGTCTCATATTGCACAACTATTTCTTATTGTACATATCTATTTATTCACTTATTACACTTTACATATGCACATACTCTGCACTTTTTGCTATTTTGCACTTCTGGTTGGATGTTAAACTGCATTTCGTTGCCTCAGTACTTGTACCCTGTGCAATGACAATAAAGTTGAATCTAATCTAATCTCCCACACTATTTGTATTGTTATTACTGCCTTGAATGAACGTTTTCATCACTCTGAGGTTAACGCTGGTAAACATGCAGCTCACATTGTCTTACATTTTCCATTATAATTACCATTTGAATGATCTATACAACCAGCAATTAACGTTACCGGAGGAACAAATATGTCTTATGTCGTAAATTAAGTCGAAGCACCTCAACAATGTGCAAATACTAATACAAATAAAAACACGCAATATTCCCATCGGCCTGTAGGGGGCCTCCCCTCCTCTCCCCATTAAGGGTGAGAAAACATGGCGGAAAGGAGCTGTGGAGGCTGCATCGGTTGAGCTGCCGGCCGTGAAACAACAACAATAAAAGAGGGCCACCATTCACCACGGGAGGGGGTCGCAAGGACACTACCGTACGAGGGGAGGCGAGGTTATCTCTCCGACCGGCGGATCCATCCGGCTGCATTCGGTCCCCGTGAAGGAGCGAGAGACATAGAGGGAGAGAGAGAGAGAGAGAGAGAGAGAGAGAGAGAGACACGGAAACTAGCCGAACATGAACGGGGTAAGTTTTATGTTGTCGGGGGGCTCCACCGGGGAGGAAAAGCAAGACCAGCGTGTTTTTGTATTAAAACGTTGACTTCGTTAAATGTAACAGTTTTTTCTTTTTAAAAACTTTCGTAGTTACAGGAGCTACACGCGAGCTAACATTAGCTCATCTTCACACGCGCGTGACGTTCTACGGACATAAACGTGATCTGCGGCATCACGTGACCGCAGAGAAACACGTGGGAGTTCTTTCTGTTCTTTGCGGCTGTTGAAGCGATTTGAGCAGTAAATGATGAGCCAGGAGGCCTGTGGATTTAAAGGGACTGATGGGGGAGTTGATGTGGGAGTGTGCAGCCAGCATGCACCCCCCCCTCCCCCCTCCACTGCCCCACCCACACCAGCTCCAGGGCCCCACCCACACCAGCAATGCACTGGACATCTCAGCACTGTGCTTGTTTGTGGTTAACTGAAGGAAAGGTTCCCTTTCATGTGAAACACATTGATGCAGAACCACAGGGATGTCCTTACAGACTCTTCTCACATCTGTGTTCATCGCTGCTTTGCTTCAGTGAGGTTGGTCTTTCTCACTTGACTTTCTCGGTTTTGCATAAACAAAACTTTCTCTGAACAAAAACGCCTTTTTGCAAACTCAAAGTCCTCCCTCAAAATGAGTCAAGTCGTGTTAATGTGCGTGATTGAGAGCCGATGCAACTAAATGTCAGCAAACCGATCTCATGTGATCATTGGCTGATGGCGAAGTGAACATCGAGGTATTAACGCTACTCACTGCCGCTGTCACGGGACCGTTTGGCAGTAACTCTCTCTGCATTCACAGCCGACCGTATGCAGCAGCCACTCCGTCACCGTGCTGAGCCGCTCCAGGTCCATCTCCCCCGCTCATGACGAAATCAAGCTCACCCAGGAGGGGCGGCGCTCTCCGCCGTGCTTCCAGCCAAGCGACGCCCCCAGGCAGGGAGATGGTGAGTGAAGCTCCGCCTCTATGGTTGTGTCCACCATATATATTTCTGCATTTTGGGAGGTTTGCGTAGCAGAGAGCGGCGAGACAGGAGCTGAACCACCTTGTTGTCCCCCCCCCCGCCCCCACCGAGGCCGGAGAACGGACGCCACCAGCACGGCGCCGAGAGGATCGGAGACCCGTTACCCCGAGATGGAGAGCAGCAACAGCCAGTGTTCCCCCCGCTGGGCAGGGGAACCGCTCCACCGCGCTCAGACCTGCTCCGGTTCCCCCGCCGAACTCCCTCTGCAAACGGACACCAGCTCGTCTCCCGCTCCGCTCCACGTTGCCAACAACAACAACAATAACAACAACAACAAAAGCAGCATCGTCGCTCTGCAAAGCCGCCAGCGCCGAGGCCGCTGCCGAAAGGTCAAAGAAAAGAAGTCTACGCTGAGAATGTAAGTCCCGAGTTACTGATTTGAAGGAGGAGATCCCACCAGGACCATCTGAGGGATCGTTAACCACGTCTGTTGTTTTTTCCCACTTCAGTGCAGGCGGGAAAAACTCCCAGAACCGAAAAGTAACCGACTACTATCCGATAAGACGAAGCTCGAGAAAGAGTCAAACAGAGCTCAAGGTCAGTAGCCGTTGTATTCTCTAGTTAGTTATTGCACCAGTAGGTTGGTGATTAGGTGATCGCCCTCCGTCTTCATCAATATTGAGAATATATACGTCCCTATTGCGCAATCAGTCTCTGCTCATCTGTTAGTGGCGTTGATGATCGTATCCTGACAAAAAAACTTTCCCAACTAGACGACCAATGTTTTATTTGGACAGTTAAACTGTTTTGTTTTTTTCTTCCTTTTTAAAACTGACTTTAAAAAAGGTCATTCCAGAATCCAACTCCCATTGCTGCTGTTTCCTGCCCGGCTGATCGTGTGGTCGTTAACGCCGTTTTGTGTGTCTTTTGTGTGTCTTTTGTGTGCCAGTGTGAAGAAAAGAGGCTCATCGACGATCTCATCACAAAGGGAATAGAAGAAGGAATGGAGGTACGAAGGGTCCTTCTTCAAGACACTTTTGTCGACTTTTCACTAATTTAGCACTTGAATTAAAGTCCAGGTGATTGACGAGATTGACGCGTGGCCCCGCCCCCTCGCTGTGTTTCACTGCTTCTGTCATGCAAATTCAATCAGAGGCAGTGAACTCGCAGCGAGAGTCATAGGGGCGATTTGAGTGACAGCAGGATTAATCACATGACCAGGGAAGCATTAATTAAGAGGGATTATTTAACAGGAAGTTGAGATGGAAACAGAATGACTACTGAAAACTCCTCATAATGTTTAAACTCCCCATTTATTCATTTCCAGGTGCAGCACATAGAAGGAAAGGGCAGAGCGGTGTTCGCCACGCGCTGTTTCCAGAAGGGCGAGTACGTGGTGGAGTACCACGGCGACCTGCTGCAGATCACCGACGCCAAAACCCGGGAGGCCGAGTACGCCGAGGACCCCGCCACCGGCTGCTACATGTACTACTTCCAGTACCTCGGCAAGACGTACTGGTACGACCAAAGCGTGCAGTGAGCACACAGTCCCTCGTTGTTCTTCTTTATTTAGTTGTTTTGGACGGGCGGTGATCCCTCGCCGCTTCTCTTCTCATCGCATCTCAAAACGCCGTTTTTTTTTCTTCCCGCCCGAATACTGACCTTCTTGTTCTTCGCCTCGACAGCGTGGACGCCACGAGGGAGAGCGAGCGGAAGGGCCGCCTCATCAACCACAGCAAGAACGGGAACTGCCAAACCAAACTGCACGACATCGACGGCGTGCCCCACCTCGTCCTCGTGGCCTCCCGCCGCGTGGACGAGGGCGAGGAGCTGCTCTACGACTACGGCGACCGCAGTAAGGCCTCCATCGACGCCCACCCGTGGCTCAAACACTGACCCCGCCCCCCCCCCGACCACGTAGGAGAGCGAAGGGGGCGTGTGCTTGTTATTTATTGGTTGTTTTGCAGCACATTTCGTGCGTCCGACGCTCCTCCAGCTGGTCGTTTTTTATACTTTTATCCCAATAGGTCGTTGGGATCCCAGCAATACTCCCGGGGGGCCCCGGGGGCCGTCGTCTTTCCTTTCTTTTCCAGGAGGAATCAGCGAGAACGACGAGATGCAAATTATGAATATAATCAGTTTGTGGTTGAGCGCCGTGTGGTCGTGGTTCATGTTTTGGGTCTTGATCACATGAAAGAATTCATGTTGAAAACACTCACTTTGAGGAATAAACTAGTCCAATACAAACAAAGAAAGTTTTTTTTTTTTAACAATATTGTATTTTTGTAACATTTAAAGTTGTCCGATAGCTGCAGCACATGAACGTTTGTTAGGTACATATCTACTAACATTAAACGGTTTCTCCACATGTCGACAAGATCTTGTCAAACCTCCATTTTAATCTCAACACACTTAATACTGCACTGTGTAAATATATTTATGTAGTTTGGTGTTTTCTTTTCATACACGTATTTAAATATCAAAGCTAATTAATCTGCAAAATGGCCTTTAAAGTAGCCAAATCTAAATTTTCTTTTTTTTTTAAACATTTAAACCGTAAACTTAATTTTAGCGTATTGGGAAGGAATGTTTCATTTTATCTGGCTGGTTTATGGCGGAAGAAGAAATTCTACATTTAACGTTAAGTTCTATGGGCGGTTTTAGTTTTACACGTTTTTTATCACAAGTGACCAAATAATAAAACGGTTCCAGCCTTGTGTTGGTTTGACAACACATTCATTAGCTTAGCATTGTAGCCTAGCTGGTAAAAATCAGCCGTGTTTAAAGTCTCATTGTGTTCTCTCAGGACAGGCTAGCTGTTTCCCCCTGTTTCCAGTCTTTGTGCTAAGCTAAGCTAACGGTCTGCTGGCTCTGACTTGAGTCAAACTCTTCCTTTAACAGACAAAGTAAAACTAAACGGTTCAAAGCGTCTGCTGGTATCTTCTCCCAGAATGCATTGCAGCCGTGTCTTTGGTGAACTCTGTATATCTCTGCAGGTTTTACACACTATTGTTCCATGTGAAAGTATTTGAACCTTTCTGCAGGTCGTTTTGTATTTTAGTATTTTTCTTTCCAAATGGAGTTTCCATGAATTGTAGCCTCAAGAAATCTACCCAATATTGTTATATGATTATGCAGTTTCCCTTAGTTTGCAGCCTTAACAAACTACTTCCTGTAGCTGCACGTTCAAATTCATCCGACAGTATCGATCTTCTCATCAAGTCTCAGAAAGAAGAAGCGTATTTCCCCAAATGTTTTTTTTAAGCATCATTCATTTTCATTACATTTAATCACAATTATGCATAAAATCCAGGATTTGAAAGGTCAGACATCATCTGTGTAGCTGCTCAGGTTGTACACGTTTTCCACGAAAGTGTTCAAGAGAATCATAAACGGGACTTTGTTAAATAAAACCCCAAATACTTCAGGATTGTTTTGATTCCGTTTTAATGGTTTCCAAATGCCGTGTTCCCAATAAAGCACATTTCAGCCAGTTGACTTTCCTCCCCCGACCGACGCGTCCGGTTCTCAGAGAGCGGCGCGCTCTGCAGGAGTATGTGACGTGTGACACGCAACAGGAAGCAAAGTCTCAATTGTTCTGGTGTTAAAATAAACTATTACAAGTTTTCAATGAGCACAAAAGTCCATTTTTTCCCTCAATTTAACTTCACAAATCAAATTCATGTGTTTTAAATAGTGTATGTTAGTTTGTATGAGTACAAATACATATATGTATATATGCACATGTACACATATATATTAATACACACAAACATACGTATTGTATGTATATATATATACATATTTATAAATACACTAGTACTGTACTTTAGTAAAAGTATTTAAGAGTTAAGAATCCTCAGACTTTCTTACTGAGGAGCCGTGAATAGAAGCCGGCTCGTTAAATAAACGTTAAATAAGCGCTCAGAGTTTCATTTTGACCAGTTTCCCTTTTAACTTCCAGATGTAATCTGATGTATGCTGCTGCCTATTATATATATATAATAATATTAAAGACAAAGAGCCATTAAACACACATCCTAATGTTGTGTTTTTACATTCTCTCAGATTTAAAAGTAACTGTGAGAAAACTCAAATTTATGAGATAAACATTCAGAAAACTGGCTTTATTTTTGGAAAGCTTTGATCGATCGACTTCCCTCTTATAACATAATATATACGATCTAATAAACTATACTTCAATCACATTTAGCACAAATTAAAAAGTTCTGATTTAACTTCATGTTCCGGTTTCATCCTCGACATAAGAACCACAAACCCGCCGTGAAATGATTAAAGGAGCTTTTTCAAACAAAGGAGATGCATTTAAGGAGCATTAATTGTTGCGTTTGTGAAATGTGAGAATGTTTCCTGCTTAAAGGTTTAAGCTGCTTTTGTATTTTAACACGCTGCACATCTGCTTGTTAACACACGGCTTCTATTGCTCTCATCAACTTATGGAAGCCCAATTCAACCACAGAAAAGAACATAATTAAACGATTCATGACGGGTATTTGTTAGCTGTATTAGTCAAAATCAATTCAAAAAATCTAATTTAAACTTTTAAACAGTATTACGATCTACTAAGCCAGAAATATGACAAGTTGCTAAATATGATTATTCTTAAAAATCCTAATAATTTTTTTTACTGACATGTGCTTCTTAAACATTATACGACATCATATCTTTACTTAATATTATCAATATAATATTCAGAATTACAAACAAAGCCTCTATGGGGAAAGACTAAGAAGGTATTAGGATTTATTATTATTAAAAACCTCTAAACATGACATTATTATATGATTCATCACATCACTAGTTGTATTTTTTACTCTTATCCGGTCAAACCCCTTTTGTTTGTATGCGTTTGTTTTTCCTTTTCTAGAAGGAAGAAGTGGGCTTCCACATTTTTACTGCACGTCGCCGGAATATAAATAAAACACATTTTTCTTCTTCTGGTTTGAAGTCCTACGAGGAGGAGACATTCACAGTGAAGATAAAGATGAGCAACAACACCTCCTCCTCCATCACCCCTCCTCCATCACCCCATCTCCATCAACCCTCCTCCTCCTCCCTCACCTCCTCCTCATCTTCCATCACCTCCTCATCTTCCATCACACCCCCTCCTCCATCACCTCCTCCATCATTAAAGTCTGTACGTGCCAGTTTGTTACTATGAAGTTCTCTTCTTTTCGCGCCTGTTTTCAGTCAGGTGGGTTTCTCTATTTACCTTTGGGGGGGGGGGTGTAATCCTTCGGTAAAAGAGTCCCGTAGGCCCCCCCCCCCCCCCCCACCACTTACATGTGCTGCAGGGCCTCCTGAGCCTCCTCCGTGTACACGCCGCCCTCCGACTGCCCGCCGCGCAGCGAGCCCCGCTGCTTGTCCCGCGAGAAGAAACTAAACCTAAAAAAGGAGCAGAGGGGACGGAGGGTTTAGTGCGTGTGTCTGTGTGTGTCTGTGCGTGTGCGCGTGTGTGTGCGTGTGCGTGCAGAGAAGCGTGTTATTGTTGTCATTCAGTAATAATGATCGATGCATCAGATTTAAATATGAAGTTCATCGCCTGCTAGAAGTTATTCAACCACTCAGAGTTTAGAGAGAACAAGCCGTCACATTGGTCACTTTGGGGGGGGGGTTGGGGGGGTGACAACAGACTACATGTTAAAGGCCGGCGCATGCTTCTGGGTCGTTGCGTCGACGCACTCGTTTCAGTTCATGGTTCTGCGCGTGTTGCAGAGCGATTCGCCTCCAGAACAACAGGCGGAGTCACGTGACCCAGAGAGTCACGTCTATTTATTGATTTGTTTATTTATTTATCATAGGCTTTATTGCCCCGTGCGTCGCCGCTGCTGCTTTTCATCGCGGACACATTTGTCCCGTATTTTCCTCCACAATTTTGTTCCTCTCGACCGGCAAACCGGCGTTTGCGGCGATCTCCTTCCGTGAATCCAACCCGCTTCTACAACCCGCCAACGACGGCTTGTAGAAGCGCTCATATTTACGCATTTCCTCCGACAGAAGTTCTTCAATCTGATCCGTTCTGTCGTAAACATTCTTGGTTTTAATAATGATTTAATAATTTAATAATTCTTGGTTTAAAAATGTGAGACTCCGTAAAGGACGTAGTTAGCGGACCAATCGCTGCGCGAGGGATGCGTCGAAAGCCTAGAAAAATGTCTCGACACTCGTAAGGACGCAAGATGGTGTGAAAGGAAACGCAAGGGACACGCAAGGGGCTCTTTCGTTCGCGGAGCTCCGCAAACGCAGAAGCATAAACCAGGCTTCAGTCTGACTGGCTGATTCAGACCAGACAGCCCCACAAGCAGCCAATCAGAATACTACAAAGCGGGGTAAATTAAAAGCTCTGGACACAGTCATGCGGGGGGGGGGGGGGGGTTCAAAGAAAGACTCGTACAAGCGACATGAGGCGTCTGATGGCTTAAAGGGGTCGTCTGGATCAACCAGCGCCCCATCGCATATGCTGTGAGATCTGTACACAGAAGCACAGGGAGAGGTGTGTAGAGAGAGGGGGGGGGCACATCAACCTTTGACCTTTCATGAAAGTTCCCATAAACTAAAAAAAGTCCTGCGTTGGTTCGGTAAGAGAACAAAGACATGTTGGAATGCTGGTTTTGTCCCGTGTGTGTTATTGTGTGTGTGTGTGTGTGTGTGTGTGTGTGTGTGTTATTGTGTGTGTGTGTGTGTCATGTGGGGGGGGGCAGCGATCGACATACAGGCGTTTGATCCCCGACTCCGGCTGGGCAGAAGGGCGGGGGCGAGTCCTCGGCTCGGGGGAAGGAGACGAAGACGAAGTGAAGATGTCGTCCTCCGCCTCTTCGCTGTGAAGAAACAAGGAGACGTGTCGTCAGCAACGCGGGCGCCGCTGTGCCACCGCTCCGCCGCTGTGCCGGCGCCACCAGCACCTCTTGTAGTAGGACAGCTCCTCCTGCAGCAGGAACACTTTGGCCTTCAGCTCGTTCCTCTCGTGGAGGACGTCCCGCAGCTCCTGCAGGGTGAAGCGGGGCCGGTTGGGGTCCTTGGGGTCCAGGCCCCCCGCCTCCTCCTCGCACAGCGCCTCCTGCGGGGAGACAAGCGCGTCAGAGGACACTAGATGAAAACGGAAGGAAGAAGGAAGGAAGGAAGGAAGGAAAGCGGGAGGAGGGAAGTGAGGATACCTTGGTAAAATATTGGAACACAGCAGGCATGTCGTCATGGCACATCGCCTCCTGGTGGCAAACACGGAGCTCTAAGTCAGACACGGGGCGCCGCTCGGCCTTCTACAACACCGCGTGACTTAAACCTTCCTCACACCGCTTTAATGACCTCTTCTCTTCTTCTTCGCCGTCTTCTTCTTCTTCTTCAGTAGTCTGATGGCAGCCGACCGACTGCTGCGTGGGCGCATGCTCAAACATTCGTCTTGCGAGGAGGAAAACCCGACTACTGAGAGCGACGCTGCAGATTAGAGTGGAGGAAACGCGGCTTAGAGCGACGCAATCTGATTGGCCGGCACGACGAACCCGCAGAGCGAACCAGTCGTCTGAGGACCGCCGACACGCGCGCGGCGCGCCGTCCACCAGACGTCATGCGGCGTCAGCTGGACGTCCCGTTTCCTGCCCGCCGCGGTGCCTTCAGGAGCGGCGTGCGGTTAGAGGCGGGGCCGTGGGCGGGGTCTAGAGGTTAGCGAGGTGGCGCTGAGGTTAGCCGACTCGTTGTGTTTCTACGTGTTAAATCACAGCAACTCGAGCACGTCCGTATTACCCAAAGCAACACGGCCTCTTCCTCCTCCTCCTCCTCATCCTCGTGGCCCTCTGGGCTGAGGGAACCAGGCAGGGGGGGCGAGGCGGACTCAAACCCGCCCACCATCAGCTCAGAGGGGCGGGGCCTGTGTGACCCGGCGGCCCCCCGCTGGTGGAGCAAGAGGCACTTTGTTATCTCCGCTCACAGAGGTCTTCAGCTACGCGGTTGAAGCTTCTCACGTGATATTTTATTATGTTGCTTTGTAATATGCAAGTGAACAAATTAAAAACTATTTAACTATGCTAAGCTAGGCTAACCTAGCTTAGCATGAAGACAGCTAGCAATCGAGCAGCAGCTCTAAAGCTCATCAACGTTTTATGTAGCTGGGATTTTTATGGCGGTTTGTGGTGAAAAGAGAAAGGTCTTTATGCTAAGCTAAGCTAATGGGCTCCTGTCTGTAGATGCTGAGCAGAGAGGAGAGCGGTACGGATCTTAGTCTCAGCAGGAAAGAAAACGAAAGATTGAGAAAGAAGGAAAATAGACAACACTGTTTACCCACAATGCACTGCACTTGCATTGCAATAGGATGCCATTAAGTCAATATAATCTATTAAAACGGAAACTAGAAGCTAATTTCAAACTGGATTCCAATCCAGATGTGGCTGAGCTGATGGTTCCGGTGTTACCTCTGCAGGCGAGGGGGGCTGAGGGGGAGGGTCCTCGGGGTCCTGGGGCGGCAGGTCTCCGTGAAGCCGCTCCCTCAGGCGCGCGACTTCCTGCCGCAGGGCTCCGACCTCCTGACCCCGCGCCTGAGCCCCGGCCTCCAGCTCCACCTTCTGCCCGATCAGCGCCTTCCCCTGAGCCTCCACCACGGAGATCTTATGGCGCAGGTCGTGGTTGATCTTCATGAGGCGGGACTGCTGCTGCTGGAGCTGTCATAGTGTTAAATAATCCGTAAATATGACATTTCATTTCTTCTGCAGCCGCCTTGAGGAAGTCCCTCTGCAGACATACATGTACATGCCATAGAAGTTAATCCATCATTTACCAAAAGAAACAGCGATTCGCGTGTGTTGAATTAGCATTATATCGGTGATTAACACGGTTCTGCATCCACATTTATTCAAATATTCACATTTCAGAAGCCAGAACCGAAAAGAGCCTGTTGAATAAATAATATTAATATAATAACTTGTGTGAACATGAACTAACGATTCAAACAGCCAACGTGTCCCTTACTGCTTCTACGTCCTCGTTCTTCAGCGCCAGCTCGCGGTCCTTCGCCCGGATCTCGTCCCTCTGCTTGTCCACCACCTCCTTCAGCTTCTTCATCACCTGCCTCTCCCTCTCCGTCATACCTGCTGACCCCAGACATGACCACGGCGCCGTGTGAGTGCTTCACAATCGCCTTAACGGGAGCGAGCGATGGTGTGAGCGTGTGCCTGTGTGCGTGCGTGTGCGTGAAGCAGGTGCGCTTGCACACTGAGGCCGGTCTGTCCACAGCGTGTGTGTGTGTCCTCTGTGTGAAACCACATGCAGGGACGAGGCCAGTAGAGAAGGCTTCCTTTGTGTGTTTGTGTGTGTGTGTGTGTGTGCGTGCCCACCCTCGTGCCTCTGCAGGTCCTCCTCACTCATGGGGTCTTTGTTGGAGAAGTTGGTGAGGAGGCTTTTGTTCTCCTCCTGCAGCAGAGTGATCTGAGTGAGCAGGTCCTGAGCTTCTCCCCTCCACACGTCCTCCACCAGCTCCATCTCCTGGAACACACAGCGGCTCAATGGCGTCATTGATCGGGTGGAGGACGTGTGGCTTCATGCAGACTTCTATTCTTGGGGGCAACATGTACTTTTTCATATAAGCGTTGCACATCTGCTCTTTAAAGTCTCAGTGGGTGTGTGTCTGTGTGTGTGTTTCACTACAGTACAAGTAGAAGATCTGTTTTGATGTGCGTTACACACTTAAAGAATTAATGTTGCATTTAGTCATATTTAGATAATATTTTCATCTCTTCACTGTGATTACTGGATAAAAACAAAACGTCTGTGAACACAGCGTTGGACTCCTGCTGCCTCCGTCAGTTTATTTCTCTTATTGTTCTACCGATCAAACCGTCAAACGGACCACAAACACACACGAACTAACTGATGGAGGAGCAGGCGGATGCACAGCTGCTGTGATCTCAGCGGTAAAAAGGACTCCCGTCCACGCAGCCCGCTGACCGCAACACAGAATAATTGATTGTTTCTGGAGTCTGAACTACGTCCACAGCAGACCTTTGCTCCATCTACTGTAGTGAGACTCGGGGAAAGGAGAAGAACCGAGCGGACACTTTGATTCCTCTCAGCCTCAAATATACTCGGATGACTAAACGGAAACGAACACGAGTGCGGAGTGAAGAGTTCCTGAGTCAGCGACAGACTTCTGATGGGCTGTCAGGTTAAAATCCGGTTTTACCCCATCAGATGGGGCAGTTCTTTGCTCCGTCTTGTCTTTAAAGACAGAAGAAAACTACTCCATTACAAGAACATTCTTCTGAGAACAACACTTATGTACCATTACTTGTAGATGAGTATGTTTATTTTGTGGGTTTCCTGATACTTGTCAAGCAAACTTTTATTTTGTAGTTGTTGTTGTTGTTGTTGATGATTATGTTTAGGGGGGGGGGGGGTGTCACAGACACAGACCTTCCTGTGCTTCTTGTCCTTCTCCACCCTCTCCACCCTCTCCAGCCGCAGCGCGTCCAGCTCCAGCCGCAGCTCGTCGGTCTCCGCGCTCCCGCGGCCGCGGCTCACCATCACCTCCAGGATCTCGAGCACGCGCACCACTTTGGGCATCAGGCGGGACGGCGCCTCGCAGCCGTGCCGGTCGATGATCCGCTCGAACTCCTGGCCCACCGCCGCGGCGATGTCGTAGACGTCCATGACCGTGAGGTCGGCGACGTTCTTCTCCAGGGCCGACCCCCCGGAGTCCTCCATGTTCGGGCCCGTTTAACCCCCCCCCCCCGACACCACCACCCCGCACTACTCCGGAAAACTTCCTAAGTTAGCTCAACTCCGCCGCTGTAGCTTTAGCTGTAGGACTCCGGACGGACACGACGTGTAACCGCATTAAACCGCGCCGCAGTTATCGATTATCCATCGGTATCGGCTGAGCGGTGGTTTGATTTGTTTGGGGGTAAATATCTGCTGCGGCCCATTGCTGTCCTTCCTGCGCGGCCCCCGTCGCTGAGCGAGCGGAGTGGACGCCATCGTCAAGTCCGCCATCTTTAAACAGAGAACTTCCGCTTACACGTTTCAGAATAAAATATACCCGTTATAATCTATTTGTATGTGGACAAAACACGTTAATACAAGTCTATCATACAATATGCAAACTTTCCAGTTATTACTTGAATAAAATCCATTCCCTGATCGTACTAACGCACATTATAATGTTTGCACTAAAATGTGTATTGGCCACCGTAATAATAGCTACTAGAACATTTAATCGATCAGATGTTGAATCATGCGGTTTTTCATTTAATTAATGTTGTGTATTTACATTATATCTATAGCGTTTTAAGTCCTTTCTTCTTTTGCGTTATAATGTAGAACAAAAACAATCTCCAAAATTGCAGTGTACATATGTTGCTTCACCTTTATTCTGAAAGTATCTATTTCCGGTAAATGTGTCTGTAGTTTGATGCAGCTTCACACAGAGATCACAGTGGTGAGATTGCAGTTTGAATTGCGCATGACAGAAATAACAGACTGATGAGGTCGCTGTGAGAACAGAGACTGCCTGGTTTAAAGGAAGTACTGCAGTAAAAAGTACAATACAATACAGACCTCTGAGATGTACTACAGTAAAAAGTACAATACAGACCTCTGAGATGTACTACAGTAAAAAGTACAATACAGACCTCTGAGATGTAGTACAGTAAAAATTACAATACAGACCTCTGAGATGTAGTACAGTAAAAGGAGAATAGCAGAACATGTAAGTACTCAAGTAAAGCGCCGTACATTTGTTTAACTTGTGACCAAAACTACGTGAATAACATGACAAATATTTAAAAACTTGCACATCAGAAGTCAGAAGAAACATTCTGCCGCAGGTTATTTTGTGATTTTTAATAAATCAACTTGATAATAAACAACAATCAGTAACATAATACAGGCATCAGTCTGATATTTTTCATTCGCACATTTAACTATGTATTCTTCTTTTAAGCCAGAAATACAACAATATTATTAGAGTGATTTTGAGTTGTATAACTATATTCATACTTCGACCATGAATTGTTTGGTAAAATGTCAGTCGAGCTTCAAGATTCCCCAGTTCCAGGTTCACTTCGTTTGAACTGTAACGAAAAAAAAGAAAAGACTTATATAGACAAACAGATCTAGTTAAATCATCTCGGTTAAAATAACATACAGTGGTGAACATCCAAGAAGAAGCCTAGATCAGAGTAGTTTAAGACCACTTCTGAGTAGTTTAGAACTAGATCCAAGTAGTTTAAGACCACATCCGAGTAGTTTAGAACTAAATCCAAGTAGTTTAAGACCACATCTGAGTAGTTTAGAACTAGATCCAAGTAGTTTAAGACCACATCCAAGTAGTTTAGAACTAAATCTGAGTATTTTAAGACCACATCTGAGTAGTTTAAAACTAAATCTGAGTAGTTTAAGACCACATCTGAGTAGTTTAGAACTAGATCCAAGTAGTTTAAGACCACATCCAAGTAGTTTAGAACTAAATCTGAGTATTTTAAGACCACATCTGAGTAGTTTAAAACTAAATCTGAGTAGTTTAAGACCACATCTGAGTAGTTTAGAACTAGACCCAATTAGTTTAAGACCACATCTGAGTAGTTTAGAACTAAATCTGAGTATTTTAAGACCACATCTGAGTAGTTTAAAACTAAATCTGAGTAGTTTAAGACCACATCTGAGTAGTTTAGAACTAGACCCAAATAGTTTAAGACCACATCTGAGTAGTTTAGAACTAGATCCGAGTAGTTTAAGACCACATCTGAGTAGTTTAGAACTAAATCTGAGTAGTTTTAGACCACATCTGAGTCGTTTAAAACTAAATCTGAGTAGTTTAAGACCACATCTGAGTAGTTTAGAACTAGACCGAGCGGGATTAAGATGTCATCTCTCGACGGTAGAATCGAGTCGGAGGATTTTCTGACCACATCTCCGTAGTTTAGAACTCCCTCTGAGCAGTGTAGGGACACATCTGAGTCGTTTAGCACTAGATCCGACTCGTTTAAGACCACATCTTATTCGTTA